AAACAAAGATGTTGTGTCTGCCGAAAAACTAAAAAAAAAAAAAAAAAAAATTCTCCCCCTCTCTCTCTTAAAAAAGAAAAAAAAAAAAAAAAAAGAAATCACAGGCTAAGGGGTGTAGCTGAGTGGTGGCCAATGCATGCTTAGAATGAGAAAGGCTCTGGGTTTAATCCCCAGCACAAACAAAAGAAAGAAAAAAATTAAATTATATATTAATAGATTCTTTTATAATTTAAAACACAAATTCAGAAAAGCCCAGAATCAAGGCATAAATTTTAAAGTAATCTTTATTTTTTAACCTTTATTTTATTTATTTATTTTTATGTGGTGCTGAGGCTCGAACCCAGCGCCTCACACGTGCTAGGTGAATGCTCTACAGCTGAGCCACAACCCCAGCCCTAAAGTAATCTTATAATAGGAAAATCTTCCAAAAGTAAATGGATACACTCACTCTTTAGCTCTATAGGTATTTGATTAAATGTCTGCCTGTCTGTTAAAGAAGAACAGTAACAACTACACATTGAATAATGTACTTTTGTTGTAAATGGATAAACATTTATAGTATAGCTACATGGAATATTATTCAGTCTTAAAGAGAAAGAAAATTCTGACACATGCTACAATATGCATGAACTTCAAGGGCATTACGCTAAGTAAAATAAACCCAGTTATAAAAACACAAAATACTGGGTTTGGGATGTAGCTCAACATTATAGCACTTGCCTATCATGCATGAGATCTTGAGTTTCATCTCTAGCACCCCACACTCCATGTACACTCACACAACAAGTATTGTATAATTCCATTTATATGAGGAACCTAGAGTAGTTAGATTCAGAAACAGAGGGTAAAATGGTGGTTGCCAGTAGAGAGGGAAAGGAAGAATGGAAAGTTACTGTTTAATAGGCGCACAGTTTCAGTTTTGTATGATGAAAAGAGGTCTATGGGGATAGATGGCAGTGATAGATGCACAACAAAGTGAAGGTACTTAATACCACTGAATTATACACTTTAAAACAGGTAAGATAGACCTCCATGATGGTGCACACCTGTAATGCCAGCTATTTGGGAGACTGAGGAAGGAGGATTGCAAGTTTGAGGCAAGATCAAACTGCCTCCAGAAGAAATGCATGAATTTATACCCTTCTATGGCAGTGAAAAAGAATATATGCTTCAGCTCACAATTTGATAGGCCAAAAATGTGTTAATACTTTATCATCTGTTCCTTTTTTATGTAAAAAATGTAATAAATATTGCATCTTTTCTCTCACCTTTTTTTCAAGAAGAATTAGTTTAAACAGGATTAAGACCTGCAGAAAGGAAAAAAGAAACACTGTTTATAACAAGTCTTTTAATCATTTGCTGTTTCCCTTCCTGAAACACAATCATAGATCATTTAATTAATATTAAGTAACTACAGCACTTTAAAAAAATATATAAAAAACTATGAACTCATACCAAGAAATTAAATATATACCAGTATCTTTTTTGTTTGTTTTATTTTGGTTCCAGGGATTGAGCCCAGGGGTGCTTTACCAGTGAGCTACATCCCCAGACTTTTTATTTTTTATTTTGAGACAGGGTCTCGCTAAGTTACTTGGGGCCTTGTTAAGTTGCTGAGGCTGGCTTTGAACTTGCGATCCTCCTGCCTCAGCCTCCTGAATTGCTGAGATTACAAGTGTATACCACCAAAACCCAGCTACCTGTATCCTTATAATAAGATAACTACCTATGTTCTCTAAAAATTTGTGAGCGTAACTTAAATCTTCAAATGAAATGATCATTTTTGGAAGGAATGTTGCCATTTTGCTTGAATATGTGTAAGTTTTTAAAGGGCAGGGATTATTCATTTATTTCTGGGTGTCATTCAATAAATGGTTAAAAAAAGGAAATAGGGGATACATACATAATAGTTTTATTTAGCTATTAAGAAGAAAAAAATCTGCTGGAAAATGGGATGGTACTGAAGAGCACTAGGTTGAGCAAAATAAGACTCAGAAAATCAAAGGTCATATTTTCTCTCTCATACATGAAAGCTAGGAAAAAAAAAAGTTAAAAAAGGGAACCTCATGAAAATAGGAGGGATACTAGCAGAGTTGAGGAAGGGGTTCAGGAGAAGGAAGAAGGGGAGGGAAAAGGGGAAAGAAATTTATCAAATGTTAGCTACTAAGTTACAATGAATCCTGTCACAGGCCAGCCATGGGCTGTGTGTGTGAACTATGAGTATTTGAGCCTATGGGAGGACTGGCCTGATGTTGCGTGCTCTTTGGGCCATGCAACAAACATAGGCACTTTCCTCTCTCTCTGCCTTTGATCCCACAGAGCACCTGAGATGGGGGTGACTTGCCAAGATGTCAATAAATCTACTAACAACAAGACATCATGAAGCGAGACTTAACTCCCTGAAACCTGACCCTCTGCCTTATTTGGAAACATTCCTTTGAACCTCCCCTTGTGCCCCCTCTATCAAAATAAAAAATTCAGGTGGCTCCCTCTCTTTCCAACGGACCTCTAAGGTTGAGAGCTGTCACTGGACCCTGAGAAAAAGGTATTTTCTCTGTCTTTGTGTGATTATTTTGTGCCAACCCAAATTTACTTGGAGCAACCTGAATGATTTAGTCATGTGTTGTGACAGAATCCCACTTTTATGTATAGTCAAAATAAATCAATAAGAATGAATAAATTTGAAAAAAAAGTTTGATAAATGAATGACATGTGTATGTCCTAGTCAACATATGCCTTAACAATGAAGATCATACTCCTCACATCAAAACAAAACAAAAAAGATCAGAAAGGATAAAGATAGATATTTTACTGGAAAATGTTCCATTTTTATGACAACACAAAATATTCTGTAAGATTATAGGGGGTATGGGACAGGAGGGATGGTGGAATGAGATGGATATCATTACCCTAGGTACATACATGATTGTACAAATGGTGCGACTCTACATGTGTACAACCAGAGAATTGAAATATTGTGTTCTATTTGCATATAATGAATTTATATGTATTTTGCCATCATGAATAACTAAGTAGAACAACAAAAACTACTCTGCAAGATCAAAACATGTTCTTTCTAGTCTAATGTCATTATAGCTGAAATTACAAAGACAAGAGAAATGCATTATATCATAAGAAGTAAACAGAGTATGCGCTCCTTTAGAAATTTCTGATTCAAGCACTCTTTTCTTGTTAATATTTTTTAGTTGTTGATGGACCTTTATTTTACTTATATGTGGTGCTAAGAATTGAATCCAGTGCCTCAGACATGCTGATTTCCATTTGGGCAGTGCCCACATTACTGATGAGACGTTCATATATTCACAGCTATCCAAGGAGCAAGAAAACATCTGCTCAAAAACAGACAAAAATTATCCTGACGATTAAAAGAATTGGTTACTTCTAATGCTAGGCAAGTGCTCTACCATTGAGCTACAGCCCCAGTCCTCTGACACAAGCATTCTTGACACTTTCAACTTGGTATAGTTATAAGATGAAACACTATATTAGAAGAACTAAGAGTAATGCCTATCATAAGAGATCTGATACAAGCGTGAAACAATCTCTATTTGATGCAGTACTCTTGAATTTGCCATTAAAATAAACACAGTAAAAACAGTGTCTCCCATTTTAGTACATCATAAATTAAAGAAGGTATCATACCTTGTGTCGAAAATGAAGGACAAGATCTCGAGGAGACAGACCTATAATGTTAACAAAAAAGCTAATCTGTGACTATAGTTATACTGTTTTTGTTGAAAGTTAGGAAGAGAAGGTTAAAAAAGATACTCAGATAATGCAAATATTCAAATATTTATGTAATATTTAATTCAATACACATACGCTTAGAAACAGGGCTATCCAATAGAACTTTCTGTAAGGATAGAAATGTTTTAAACCTGCCCTGTCCAGTACAGCAGCCACATGTGGTCACTACATACTTGAAATCAGGCAAGTGTGACAGGCAAACTGACTTTGACTTCGGGTACCAGGGATTGAACTCAGGAGAGCTTAACCACTGAGCCTTGTCCTCAGCCCTTTTAAAATTTTGATATAGGATCTTGCTAAGTTGCTTAGGGCTCACTAAATTGTTGAGGCTGGCTTTGAACTTTTGATCCTCCTGCTTCAGCCTTCTGAGCTGCTGGGATTGCAGGCATTCACCACTGTCCCCAGCCTGACAAACTGACTTTTAAATATTATCTAATTTTTATTTATTTTAATCTAAATGTAGATAGCTATACATTGCTAGTGGCTGCTATTGTGGACAGTGCAGGTCTAATATCTTCTTCCATTGTATAAGCAAACTATACAAGTTTAAAATTTATACAGTTTGAGCTAAGTGCAGTGGTTCATGACTGTAATCCAGTGATTTGGAGACTGAGGCAGGAAGATCTCAAGTTCAAGATCAGCCTGGGCAACCTAGTAAGGCTCTGTCTCCAAAAAAAAAAAAAAACAAAAAAATTGGGGATGTAGCTCAGTGGCAAAGCATCTCTGGGTTCAATCCCCAGTACAAAAATAAATAAATAAATAAAAAACAACAATGCCTAACAGGATATTTAAGGAAAAAGCAGTATCATACATTGAAGAATTTAAATTTAGGTCCCACTTACAGATGTAATTCTGATCATAAAGTTTCACATGCATTTTAGTTAGCTGAACAAAAAGAAATGAGGGCATTTCTTCTGACTTATAAAAATGTTACTTACCAAGATATACTTGGGATCCTTCTAATGAAGTTCCACTCAAGGAACTATTCATATGGTCATAAAGCTCCTATGAAATAAAAACTGAGTTTAGAATACTTTATTATCATTTTTGACAATGAGTTAGAAATACACTGATCAGAAGATAGTTGGTTTATAAACTGAGACAGCTTATTTTGTCAGGTACTAGATTTAGAACCATCAAGGTCTCTCTGAAATCTTGCCAGTTTTCAACATTCATTCCTTCTTTTTCAGACATGAGAGCTATCATAAGAGATCTGATACAAGCGTGAAAAAAGCTATCAGATGGGCTGGAGTTGTAGCTCAGTGGTAGAGTGCTTGCCTAGCATAGGCAAGGCCCTGAGTTCGATCCTCAGCCTAAAGATAAATAAAATAAAGGTATTGTGTTCATCTACAACTTAAAAATAATAATTTAAAAATAGCTATCAGGGTATTACTTCTATTTTAGAGCTTGATTCATTCACATGGTGGTATGAACATTTAGGATGAATTCCCTCTGCTTCCTTGCTAAATTCCTAACTGTCCTACTCTTATCAGTATTTAGGAGAGATCCATCATCTGTATGGTGAATGACAGCCTTGAGAAAAACACGTTATCCATCTTTAATAAAATATCCTATGGTTTCTCTGGTTTATGAGAATTAGGAACAAGAAGCTTGATATATAAACACACTGTACAGTTTATTAATAAGAAAAGTTATTAAAAGAAACATTTAGTTATTTATAGTCATATTTCCTAAAAAACACAATTTTGTTAAATTAAGTATTTGGGTAGATTCCCAGTACTTCAATGTTTTACAGTAAAGGGATTTTCAGAGAGTTTCTTTCTTAAGCTAATAATTGATTATCCTTCACAGTGTTACTGACAAGATGCATTTAATTCATGAACTCTACCTTCAGTTAAACACATCTAGTCAGGGGCATAAGGTTACCTTTAGAATGGAAATTTGGGAAAAATCCTTCTCTTCGAAATATGCATGTGTAATGAGTTGAAGTTTCGCTTGAAGTAAGCCATAGAGGGGCTTAATAGAAAAGAGAAATTACCATTAGGTTTATAATAGAAAACAACAAGAACAAACAACAAACCCCTACAACTTTTTAACTTGATCAGAAGAGAGAGATGAAAATCACTGTCAACTCCATGGCCCTTATTATTAATTCATAGCAGGAAGCTGAGATGTCCCCTATACTTGCTCTTGTACCGCAGGGGAAGGTGTCTAGTGCCCTGGCAGTACAGTGAGTCAAAGTGTGGGCTCAGACAGTGCTTAACTCTGGGCACTCAACCACTCACACCTGCTTGCTAAGCTGAACGCAGGCATAACAAGACTGCATCTCACAGTTGTTTAAGGATTAAATAACAGATAAAAACAGTAGAGTACTGACATGTAGAAGGCACCCAACATTAGATTTAAAACGCATTCTCACTGTGCACATGTTCTTGGTGTGCCTGTGGCAACACTTAATCATCCTCAAGGCAGTCTTATTCTTTTCTCTAGTTGAATATTCATCATTTAACTTAAGTTCATTTCCCCTTTTTTATCTTCTGGAAAAGTTTAGAACAACTCATCTGTCTTCTATCATAATATTCTTTGTACACCTGAATGAAGCTATATAATTTTTATTTCTTCTAAATAAGATCTTCTTTTACTGCATCCATCTTTTTAATCTTCTTTTTTAGATGTTTTGTCATTTGTATGTCCTTTTCTAGGATGCACAGACTGATATATATTCTAATTAGTTAAAAATAAGTCATGCTGGAATAGTTTTCCCCCAATATTCCTGTTAGTGTATTATTATTACCATATTTTTATAAACAGGCTACAATGTACTGTGAACAACCAGACTGAGTGAGCGAGCTCTTCCTATCCATATCTGTTTTAGAGACAGATAAAAACTGGATTTTCACCTTGATTTTTATCAATTCCATGTCTTATGAGAATTAGATATTGTTTCTCTGAGATGTCTTCACTTGTAAATGAAAAAAGCAAATATATCAATGTTGTTATAAAGATAATAATGACAATTATAAAGGCCACCCTTCTAAATAAATAATACATAAAACTGTGTATTATGAGATTAGCAACCTACCAATTTTATGATATTGGGGTCTTTTATAATTCCTTTTCCAGCAGACTTTTCTTATCCTATATTTAAAATTATTTTCTTAGAAGAAATATAGAATCTCAAAAATCTTATTAAGGCCCAAAGAATGATTATTATTCAGGGTTTTTTAGCTTAGTAATAAAACCCAAAATACATTCTGTCTTGCAAAAACAATTTGCATTATGCAAAGTACACTTAAATTGCCTGTGTGTACATGAAAGTAGACAATTGCAGAAGAAATAATTAAACAAAACCTACATACATTTGGTGACAAGGCTAGTGAAAAAAGTTCAATTTTGATTTAGGTTTACTGTAGAAATGGCTACATTTCTATATGATAATCATATAGCTCTAAGATAACTGATATGATGCAGATATGAATTATTCCCACAAAGGGGATTTTGGGGACTATGTGTTTAACATGTAGAACTAGAAATTTATACTGGAAAGGTGCTATTATCCCTTTAGTAATAAACATGATATGGTGGTAAATGATTTAATTAAGAGAGCTATGAAAGCCAAGAAATGTTAGGCATCTTCTTTATAAAAAGTTAAATAATTATACTCTTCCATTTGATCAACTTGTACCCAGAAGAAACAGTTTTCATGTATTATTATAGTTACAATTTCACTATGTCATTTCCCTTCCTCAAACATATATTTTTTTTTGGTACTGGGATTCAACCCAGGGGCACTTTACCACTGAGTCACATCCCAGTCTTTTTTATTTTAAGATAGGGTCTCACTAATTTGCTGAGGCTGGCCTTGAACTCACAATCCTCTTACCGCCTCAGACTCCCAAGCAGCTAGGATTACAGGCATGCAACACTATCTCTGACTTGAAAATTTAAAGAGAAATTTAAGTCTAAAAATTTTCACTACAATAGCCATGAACTTCTGTATCATCAATAAAATCTTAGTAATTATATTTCAAATTTTAGTAAAATATTATTTATCCAATATCTTGGGAACTAAACAAAAATGGATAAATGAAACACATCAGCTACCTCATTTTTATCAAGTGCCAGCTTCCAAACTAATAAACTATCAGATTTCCTCCCTTTTACCTATACTTGGGTAGAGGAGCAAATGAAAGTAAAATTGCTGAAAGGTAAAAAGAGAAAATGCAAGAGCATAAATAATAAGCTCTTGACTAATTTTAATAAATTATTGTTCTCATAAATCTCTTCTAATAATGCCTTATTCTCAAATAAATTTGCCATGAATGTTTAACACACACATAAACAAGTCTCTTACCAGCTTGCTTAGAACACAGACACTTTTCTGAACAGTTTCTCTGGTGACATCTGCTTGCCTTACTTTCAATGCCTATTATAAACAAATAGTCATTATCAGAAATATTTCATAGCAATATTTACAAAACATCTTTCAATATGAAAATAGTTATTAAATAGAAGAAATCTCTTATATTTAAATTAAAAAATTTATTTGAGAATCTCAGAAAATATTTATTGAATGAATAAATGTCAGCTTAGTCACTTTGCATCAGAAGCTATGACAGGCACTGGGAATATAAGAGAAGGGTTAATTCCTATTCTCAAGCAATGTGTAGGCTGATAGAGATTATGTACAACTCACCACACCCAAATCAACCAATCAATGCAATCCAACCACTACTGATTCTGGTTTTAAAATGGGCCACCCTTTCACAGGATTGTTTCTGGTGAGATAGGGCTAGTTTAAGAGATGACAAAAATAGCTTATTTCTCCACAGATGGAAGAACTGTCAGCAATTTTGTTAAGTTAGTTGTTCTGGGAAGCCTGTTCTGGGGTCTGCTCTGGCTGACTTGATTATGGCCCAGCATTAAGCATAACTCATTTCTCAATAATGATAATCATGTAAGAATTCTGTAGTTTTCTGCTGGTAGAAACAAATCTTGATTTGATCAACTTCAGGTAAAGCTGTGAGGGAAATAAGAGGGACTGTTTGGCCTCTAGGGTGCTGCGAGACTCTCCTTGGATCTGTCCAGAGGATCAAAGGACCTCAAGTGACTGGTGATTAATCATTACATTGGGTGAAGAGTAGATAGTAGATGTCTTTTCCCTTGAATGGATTCATCTATTATGTCCTACCTTCAAAGGGAATTAAAGTCTTTCTCCTAGGCTCTAAGTCCTTCTGAGATATGGCTTATCTATCCAGTTTCTCAGATGAGGCTTGAAAAACTTAAGAGAAATGGGCAACTCTGATATACTCTGAAATGGATCAGTCTTAAGGGCTGGGGGAGAGAGGTAGTATTTAAAATCCGTGCAGGATATTCGAACTCTAGTTAATGACAACAATGAGGGGTAAGAAGAACTTGGAAGAAATAATTTTAGTAATACTACATGACCTACAGAAGACAAGAGGAAATAAAGGGATGGATTTCTGAGATAGGGCAGCAGCTCAATTCATCTCATATGTGTAAGAGTAACAATATGTGAAGAAATCAAATACACAAAGCTACTGGGCTAACTTTTTGTGAGGCAGGCCCAACATGGCTTCCTCACTGACATTTCCGGCTAGCTATGCTTTTAGTATGTAGTCCCTGTCATAAACATATAATTCAGCATATGTACTTAAGGTCATAAATATCTGCTTGTGGACATATACTCACTTATGTAACCTGTTGGCACTGTGCTTTGTTTGGTCTACATATAAAAAAGGTCTATGGAAAAGACTCAGGGGGCTGGGGACTACTGTCACCTCTGAATAAACCATATGCACTATTCCAACTTGCCTCACATCTTCTTGCACCTGCTGGGATCCTGGATCTGCTTCCCAGGGTCTGAGCCTCAGAATGACACTCTGATTTTCAGGTTAAAGTACACTTGATAATGTGAAGTAATATATTTAGCTTTAGATTCAGTTATTCATTCTACAAACATTATCTGGGTGTGTTCTATATTCCACACCCTGGGTTTGGAGGGTTATTTCATAGTAGTTAACTACTTCAGATATCTTGAAATTTACACCTGTAGTTTATTTATGAATGGTTCAGGAAAAAAATTCACACACCCACAGATCAGGAGAGGCAGAACATTAAGAACTGCTGAGTCTATGTGGTGGGTATATATGTGTTCACTGCACCATTCTTTTAATTTATCTGCATGTCTGGAATTTTCATTATAAAAATTTAAAAATGTTTACTAATAATTATTCATCTCAGATATCTTTTCAACTTTATAATTGCCCAGGCTCTAGTCCCAGAGATTCTAATTCAGTCAAAGAAACAAACAATGGGCTGGGATTGTGGCTCAGTGGTAGAGCACTTGCCTAGCATGTGTGAGGCACTGGGTTCGATTCTCAGCACCGCATATAAATAAATAAAATAAAGGTCCATTGACAACTAAAAAATATTTAAAAACAAACAAACAACCCCCCCCCAAAAAAAAAAAAACCCACAAAAAACCCTCCAGGTAATTCTGTTAGAAACCATTGTTTCAGTGCAGTGGTTTTGACACTTGATTACACATTAGAACTACCTGGGACATCTTTAAAACTCCTGATGCCCAGAACATTAGCTCGAAATCTCTGGGGTTGGACTCAGCCAACTCTGACTTTAAAGTTCTCCGTGATTCCAATTTGTAGCCAAGGCTAAGAACTACACACTACTTTAGAGCATCAATGAGAAGAAAGAGATTTTTTTTTTTTTTTTAAAGAGAGAGAGAGAATTTTTTAATATTTATTTTTTAGTTTTCAGCGGACACAACATCTTTGTCTGCATGCGGTGCTGAGGATCGAACCCGGGCCGCACGCATGCCAGGCGAGCGCGCTACCGCTTGAGCCACATCCCCAGCCCAAGAAAGAGATTTTTATTCATAAAGATTTATTCCCACTACAAAAAATAGTGCATCCTACAAGCGCCATAAAAGTGTGGGGATAACCATCTTAGTTTATTTGAATTGATTAATTAGGGATATTAGTGTAAATCAGGGAGTAAGTTGGCAGGTAGTTTAAGAGTAATCAAAATCTTAGTTATAGATTAACTGTGTGCACTTGGAAACCATTGTTAAGTACATTGCCCTACTAAAATGTTGTTTGAAAAGCACATTACTGGTCCATTTTTCTAAGTTATATACTGTTAAATAAAACTGTAAGAGGCCACTAATTTGGACTGTGCTCTTATACTAGAGTCAACAGACCAAACCAATAGAGTTTAATCTCAGTTAAATTTGGTTGATTGCAGAAGACTCTAGCCAATGAGTAATTTAGGATATAATCAGCTTTACTGGTTTCTATGCCTCCTTCAATTTTTCTAAAAATGCTGTCTACATATGCTGTTGGTTATTGTTCTCCAAACCTGCTCTGGTTCTAGGAGCTGCCCAATTTGTGAATTTTTTTTTGTTCTTTTTTTTCTTTCAAATAAATTATTAAATTTAAATGGCCTAACAATACTGCTATGATTTGGATAAATATTCCCCAAAGGCCCAGGTGTTAAAGACTTCGTCACCAGCCTGTGGTGCAACTGGGAGCTGTTGGAACCTTCACAGCATTTCAAAGACAAATGAATCATTTGGATATTGCTATCTAAAAACAATGTACAGGGCTGGGGATGTGGCTCAAGCGGTAGTGCGCTCGCCTGGCATGCATGTGGCCCAGGTTCGATCCTCAGCACCACATACAAACAAAAATGTTGTGTCCGCCAAAAACAAAAAAAAATAAATATTAAAAAATTAAATAAAAAATAAAAACAATGTACAAAATGTACAATTATATAATCATAGGCACCAATGTCAATTTATAAACATATTAATGTGACTACGTTGGTAATATTAGAATAGTTATAATTTGCTTATAAAAATCTAAAATGGGGGCTGGGGTTGTGGCTCAGTGGTAGAGCGCTCACCTAGCATGCCTGAGGCATTGGGTTTGATTCTCAGCACCACATAAAAGAAATAAAGATATTGTGTCCATCTAAAACTAAAAAATATTTTTTAAAAAAATCTAAAATGAAGTTGGGTGTGATGGCACATGCCTGTAATCCCAGCTACATGGGAGGCTGAGGCAGGATGATCACAAATTCAAAGGCACTTGGGCACCTTAGCAAGACCTTGCCTTAAAAAGGACTGGGGGTGTAGTTCAGTAGTAGAGTGCTTGCCTAGCCTATGGTAGCCCTAGGTTCAATCACCAGTAGCACAAAACAAAAATAAAACCAAAAAATCAGTGAAAATCTAAAATGACATCACAGGCACCACATGAAAAATAAAGATGTGTTTCCTTCACTAATAACACTTAAGAAAGGAGTTGGGAGTGTTTTTTCTATTGTTGCTCACCATTAACTATCATACCTTGGCTTCAATTTGTCGATAGCAAGAAATACCATAAATGGTGGCTCCATTTCCATTTCTGGGTGGTAAGTGAAAAAACACAGTATCTAAGAGATACATGGAAAAAATGTAAATAACAAAGCAAATCACCCTTATTAATAAGTATGAAAATTTGAAGTTATCATAATGTAGTTATTAACATGCAAATGAAGATGTATGAAGGAACCATGTCATACTTATTTTCAGCATCACAATCACTGGTTTCTTGAAATTTATCTCAATGCCTTATAGTATATGCTCATCACAAAAAACACAAGAGGCTGAATTAGAACAGGTCAAACAGTACAGTTACAGAATGTACTTTATATATAAAGAGAACTGGTCCAGACTAAAACAAAGTAGAGTCATAAAAACCAATGGACAACATTGAATCTTGAATCAACTAAGAAATTTGGGGGACAGCTGGGGAAACTGGAACACAGACTGGATGTTACATAGTATTACTGTTAAATCTCTTAGCTGTGATAATGGTATTAGAAGTTATGCTGGGGGATGATCTTATTCTCTGGAGATGCCTACTTAAGTATTAAAGGTGAAGTGTCTGTCATTGTTTCCAGCTGATTTTAAAATAGTACAGAAAAAAACTGTTCACATACACAAATACAAAGAAAATTTGCAGAATATTCACTTAATCTTAACTTTTCTGTGTTTGAAACTTTAATAATAAAGTTATGTAGAAAAAGGATCTCTGAAGTTACAAATCCTATGTTTAAATGCTATGCTTAACTGTAAGTAACAACTGATTCATTCTGTAAGGAAATTATTAAATACTATATTAAGAAAACAGGTAATCAAGTTTAATCTGGTATTTTCCTGCATCTCTAACACCATAGTAAAATATGGTGTAGGAGACTCAGTAAGAACTTCAAACTACTACTTTCTTTGAATGTGTGAACATACTCTGCATGTGAGCAAGCAGAGACTTGTGACAGCTCCAGAGCTGGAGAAACCATCTCAGGTGTTCCCAGGTGGGCGGGCACTGGAGTAAGTAGTAAGTCTGAAGCTACAGACTCAAATAGTGTTCAGCTAACTTTCTTCTTTTGTCTCTGAGAGGAGTCAAAATAAAGTATAATTATAGGGAATGCTTTCTAGTAGCAGCTGTCCTGCTTTGCTAATCACTTTTGTCAGGGCTCCTGGTAAGGATCACAGGCCATGGCCAATTTAAGTTCGGCACTCTCTGGACATTCTCTTCTCTAGTGCTTGACTAGTCATCTCCAAATAGCATATAAATATTTTATAAATAACTACAACAGGTTAAAAGACTCATTCACCACAGCATTTTTTTTTTTAAACTAGCACCTACTTAAAAAATAAGTAAAAATAGGACCTACTAATTGCTCCACTGTTTTCTCACATACCTTCCTGGTAATTGTGTGCGCCGTCTGGTAAGGCAAGGAAGGGCAAATATTTCCATTCTTCAGGCAAAGTGTGGCTGTCATGTCCATCTCCTGGAATCAGGGGCGGGTAAGAGAATTCAACCTACAATAGTAAGGAATATTAGCTAAAAGGTGGTTGATCAAAAGAAGCATCTTATCCTGACAGGCAAAAACACTTTTAAACCCCAAAGGACACTAGTTGGGGTAAGCCACATTCACTGATGTTATCAGCAATCCTATGACATAGAAGAGTAAAAAAGAAGGAAAGATTTGTAAGCCTTTTCTGATTGAAGGGCACCAGCTGGAACTCAACATGCTGTCTATTCATAAAAAATGTTATAAATAAAAGTGTGGACACTACATATAGTCCAAGAATTCTCTGAGTAAAATTAAGGCTGTTGTAGGCTGACTTAGACCCAGAGTGTTTACAACATGGTTTCTTTGAGAAGCGTGTTCAGAATTTTAAACAGCCAGCTTTGGAACACAACTCATTCATAAATTGTAGTCTGCCTACACTGTGTTGGCAGTGTTCTAGAATTCTTGTCGCCTGATGGTAGATTTACTATTAACCTGCTAGTTGAGTTCAAAACAGTTAATAGAAACTCACTTCTATTTCTATATATACACAAAACAATTAAAAACAATCATAATGGCTACACAGTATCATTTCATTAGTCAATATTCTATCATTGAACTTTTTTTATTTTTTGTACTAGGGATTGAACCCAAGGGTATTTAACCACTGAGCCACATTCCCAGCCCTTTTTTGTATTTTATTTAAAGACAGGGTCTTGTTAACTTGTTGAGGATGGTTTTGAACCTGCAATCCTCCTGCCTTAGCCTCCAGAGCTGCTGGGATCACAGGCATGCGCATCGTGCCCAGCTATTCTCCGGGTTTTAAAAAATATCATTATATCAATTAATAAAGAAGGTGATCTCAAAGAATTTTTAAAAAATTGTAAACTTCAATATGTTCAAGTGTGATATAATAAAATATATATTTGAAATATTTATATTTTAATATTTCACATATTAATATATTTAAGCAAATATATTAAAATCACATATTAATATATTTAAGCAAATATATTAAAATATTTAGCCAGGCATGGTGGCTCACACCTATAATCCCAGCACTTTGGGAGGCTGAGGTAGGAGGATCACAAGTTCAAAGCCTCAGTAACTTAGTGAGACGTTATCTCAAAATAAAATATACAAAAGGGCAGGGGATGTGATTCAGTGGGTAAGCACTTCCTGGGTTCCATTCCGGGTACCACAATAAATAAATAAAATAAAATATTTAAATATGTAATAAATATATAATTATATACTATATGTTAATCAATCAATCAAGTCTTTGTGCCTGGTTCCTAGAACAACACTCCTAAAATACTTGGCTTTTCCTGGAAGATGAGGGCCTTTCATAATGTATAATAAATGCCAATCAACCATACCTGAGTTTATTCTAGGATGAGGGACGGTCATCAGAAACACCAAATTTTGATAAGAAAGATGAAATTTTAAGGTGCATCCCTTGACCTCTGGTGAGTGGAAAGAGGCTAGAGACTGATTTCAGTCACCAATGGCCAATGTGTTAATCAATCATGCCTATGTAACAAAATCTTTATATCCCTAAACAACAGGGTTCAGGGAGCTCCCAGGTTAAGAATAGCAAAGTGAAGTGAGAGTGGCATGCTGGAGAGGGCATGGATGCTTCATGCCCTTCGAGCATGTGTGTGTGTGTGTGTGTGTATGTATGTTACTGGGGATTGAACTCAGAGGTACTCTACAACTGAGCTACATCCCCAGCCCTTTTTATTTTTTATTCTTATGTCAGGGTCTTGCTAAATTGTAGAGGCTGACCTTGAACTACCTTGAATTTGTAATCCTCCTGTCTTAGTCTCAGGATCATAGGACAAGTGCTATGCATTTCTTTATCTGAGTTGAAGGTCATCCCCACTGCCCTCTGAATTTGAAACCAGTCAGAATTATAGGTGGCCTGAGGACCTTGGATTTGTAACTGGTATCTGAATTGAGAGCAATCCTGGGGAACTGAGACCTTAAGCCTGTATAGTTTGATGCTGAGTAGTTAATGTCAGAATAGGATTAAATTATAAGAATCTGGTGAACTAAAAAAAAAATTTTAAGAATCTGAGATCAAACATCAAAAAAAAAATAATCAGCGATTTCCAAACTGATGGTTTCTTTAAATCTTAAATTGTGTATTTTTCATATTTTGAATACTAATCACTCTATATGTCCCCTTTCTATATGTCCAAATAAACCCAGGCAGATGCATAATTCCATGACAAAGACGCTTAAGAGGAATTCTCTTGGAAGTTACCTTAAATTTTAAATATACTCAGTTGAATCAAAATGCAATTTAAACAATAATGCTAATTAAATCAACCACTACCACAGAGAGTGAAGGAAGTAATGGTAGTCGGCCTCACTACCTACTTCTAGGGGGAAATCATGATCACCATAGTTTATACAAATGGCTCTCCATGTATAGTTATGTAGACTCTGTAACACAACTATACATGGCAGCCCTCCATATATATGAAAAATATAGACAAAAACCAACATTAAACTCTGTAGAGATTAAGAAACATTTAGACTATTATCCAAAATTAGGTAGCATAAGTTTATAGTTCAAAATCTAAACCAAGTTTGGGGATCAAAAATGTTACCTGAGGGCTGGGTTGTAGTTCAGTAGTACAGCACTTGTCTAGCATGTGTGAGGCACTGGATTCAACTCTAAGCACCACATATAAATAAATAAAATAAAAGTCCATTGACAACTAGAAAAAATATTTTAAAGTTGCTCTCTGGGGCTGGAGTTGTGGCTCAGTGGTGGAGTGCTCGCCTCGCATGTGTGAGGTGCTGGGTTCGATCCTCAGCACCACATATAAATAAATAAGTAAAATAAAGGTATTGTGTCCTCCTACAATTAAAAAAAATTTAAAAAGAAGTAAAAATGCTGTCTGATAACACACACCAATGTGAAAGAGGTATGAATGCCCCCACAATTAGAACAGTAATGTTATTAAATCAAGCAAACTTCAAATATCTCTATCTCTATTTATATAACCAATATTCATGTAGCAAGTCTACCTTGATTCCAATCATTTTACAAATTCACATGATTACAAACTGAGAAGAGGAGGGAAAAAGAAGACAATGGCTGACTTCTAAAAAGTGAAAACTGAATAAAGATGCTATAATCACCAAGAATAAAAAGGCAATTTTTGCTAGGCGTGGTGGCTCACACCTGTAATCCAAGCAGCTCAGGAAACTGAGGCAGGATGATCAAGAGTTCAAAGCCAGTCTCAGCAAGGGCGAGGCTCTAAGCAACTCAGTGAGACCCTGTCTCTAAATAAAATATAAAATAGGGCTAGGGATGTAGCTCAGTGATCGAGTGCCCCTGAGTTCAATCCCAGGTACCCCTCTCCCCAAAGAGCAATTTAAAAAAAAAATGCCAAATGAACTATGCAATAAAGGGTGACCTACATTTGTCCTCCAGGAATGGTAAAAATCACCACATAACCCTTTTCATAGTTTATACATCAAGTCAGCAGCCATTTACTTTGTTCTCTGGAAATAATATTGAGAAAACAAAGAAAGACTACAAAATAAAAACAATAGCATAGTACCCTAGTGTGAACTTTTGAGTACTTCAGAAGTACCCTTTGTTCACTTTTTAACAATGTAATATCCATTCCACTCTCAAAATCACACAATAGAAGCCACACAAATTAAATCCATCCATTTAAACACGGATACACCATGGCTTACTGAGGAAAGGGCTTCCCAGTTAATTCTACTGCTGCTCTACCTCTTTGCTCCCTTCCTAGGCACAGCAAAAATGTTATTGCCTGTCACTCAGAAGTAAAAGTGTTTCTTTTCTTAATAGACATTAACAGTTTAGGTACCAAAGTCAAGGCTTTGCCTTGTTTTCCACTTAACAAAAAAATGACATAGGGATGTAGTAGAGTACTTGCCTAACATTTGTGAAGCCCTGGGTCCAATCCCCAGCACCACAAAAACAAAACAATACCATGTTTTTATTTTTAAGATTAGGTCTAAAAAATACAGTCCTGGAAGTCAAAGACATGTTTTCATTCAGTTATGTTCTCTTCCAAAGCTTTTGAAAAGTCAATACTATAAAAATAATTATAAAAATAATTGGCATTTTTCCTCTTCACAGTTGGCAAAAAAATCACTGTATTTGTCAATGGTTGATTTTTAAGACAACTTGTGCTTAACAATCCTGTATCTCAGCATGATGTAGTATTTCATAGATTCACGAATGCCCGAGAGGCCCAGAAAAATATAGTGTATACTACAGAAGTAAAATGGTACTACTGAGACTTACCAGTCAAAAGAAGTTTGTTTCTAGATTAATGCAAACAAAAATCTTAAAGCATTTGCTTTTATGGGTTTAAGTATTTTAAATAAAAGGCTGCTACTACTATTTTTCCCCCAAGAATTAAATAGTCATTTTACTATTCTATATTTTTTAAGATGGAGTACTTACTTGGATTTTCACCAGGAAGATGGATGATATGCATTTCACATCTCTCCTGCCTTTTTGCATTTTAATTTAAATGTAAGAAGTTTATTTTTTATATAATTATGAATCCTACTACAGTGAAACCAGAATCACATCAAGACTGTATTACATAAAATATGGCATTTTATTTTATTTTTAATTATTTTTTTAGTTATAGATGAATGCAATGTCTTTATTTTGTTTATTTATTTTTATGTGGTGCTGAGGAGCAAACCCAGTGCCTCACATGTGTGAGGCAAGTGCTCTGCCACTGAGCCACAACCCCAGCCCAAATATGGCATTTTAACTATATAATATGAAGGATGTAACTATATAATATGAAGGAGGCAGGCTTTCATACTAAAGTTTCTTGAGGCACTAAAATTAAGAACTCATCATTCTGTTTTCTATTTTAAATCACTGGAACTTTACAAAAGTATATATGTTCATTAACATGAAAGAATACATATACACAGTCAATTAAAATACACCTTTATAGTATAATGCTCCTTAAAAGAAATATTTCTTCTAGGAAGAAAAAATCTTGT